TAATGTCTAGTAAAAACTTAACCATCTATATTGAAACTGTTTTTTAACAAATTTATATGTACTTACTCAAGGTTTTGAATAGTTAACTATTGTTGTACTTAGTTATAAAACTGTAATCTTTAGAATTATTTATTATTAAGTATTAATTACTGTACCTGTGGATATTGTGGGGATGAAATTGTGGGAACATGACACTAAATTAGGTATAATAAAATAATATATGTAGTAGAAATATAAGTAGTTATTAATTATTTCGAAATCAATATTTGTAATTATTTGTAAGTAGTAATAATTTTGAATTCCTCTTTATATTGTAATTGCAATTTTTTCGTATCAACTTGTATTTGTAAACTATAAAGCCTTTAGCCATTTTGTGGGGCATTACTATAATAAGCGATAAACATTAAGAATCATGATTAAACTTTACCTCAAATATTATATTGTAAAAGTTTCCTTGTAAGCATTATATTATAAGTCCAGATCTACTATTCTTGAATTCTAATACTGGAGGAAATGACTTACATAAGATCATTGTCCTTTGATTATAAATTGTGAAAAATAATCTTACTTTATTGTGACTAATATTGTAATTTGTGAATTATTTCATGCTCAAATTTGAATTGGATGTAACTGAAAAAAATCATTTAAACTATCACATGAATTTAGCTTGTTTATTATCATTTTTTTTTGTATCGAGAATAAGTAACATATTTTGAATGGTCAGCATGATTTTTTAAAATGTTATATTTATTGATATTATAATTTTGGTTCAATTATTATTTATAACAAACATTATATATGTACCAACAAACACAAGAAAGAATTTTGGACAATTCTATTTTAGCATTACACTAGTTAATAACTAAATTAACTAAATTCTAACACAGTTTTTTTGATCCCGGTATTCTTTCATTCGTAACATCAATTATTTTGTCGGAAATACATAGTACAAGTATTGAAAAGACATTTCTTGTACATTTGAAAAGGTTGTCGTCTAACTTTTGTTAGTTTCCAAAAGTAGTATACAGTAATTTGTGTACTCCTTTTCATCAGTTAAGGATCTTAGAGCCAATATCTGTGGTATCATTGTGCTTAAAATAGTGATGGTAAATGATTCTTTGTACAGAGTCTGACAGAATTTGTCTTGGACATAGTAAAAGTTCTTCGTACCCTTAACCTTGCTAACTGAAAAATAATTCTTGATATTTCTTTTACTTTTAGACCTTACCTGTACCCTTTTAAATCCACCAAGGATTTAAATTATCACTCATGACTTAGCACTTACAATTGCCGTAGTTCTTTCTGAATCTCTTTGTATTTCTCTTTTTCAATAGGAGTCTGCTTATATCTTAATACTTTTTCAGAAGATTCTATCGAATAGTCTGAAGTGTAGGGTTGGATACTTTGGAAATAAAGCCACGAATCCGTGCGATACAGTATAATTTAAATACAGCAATAGGTTTAAAAGTGAATATTTTAGAATTATTTGCTGGTAGAAGTGAATTTAAACAGGTCAGAAAGTGCATATAAATTTCTGTGGGTGACGTTATATGAGTTTGCATAAAGTGAAAAATAGTACATATGTACTATAATATTATTTCTATTTTTATCAACAAACAGTCCTAAAAGTCCGTGTGATTGGAAGTCAGATGTGGAATGATATTTCCATACTTCCTTTCCATCTTGTTGTTCTGACTAGTAAAATTTTGGGTTTAATCCTTTCAAAACAGTAGCTGATGGAAATATCTATGTCTTTTCTCATAATCTCATAGAATGAATTCGCTCTCTTATTCGTTTTTTCTATAATAATGTCGTTACGTTGTTTTTAAGTTTGAACTTATAGGAAAAGATTTTATTTTATGATTGAGTATTGTGCTAAGGTTCAACACATCGCTAGAATGGCGTCGTTATTAAAGTAAGAGCACTGGGGAAAATAAAATAAATGGGCTCCAATGGTATCCAAACTGCAATTCTTCCGAATGTTAATCAAAAATAATTTATTCAAATGGCTCCCTCGGCTGGCCATGCAGTAGAGCCTACTCGATCGGTCTAATTTTTAAGCATATTATCGATTGTATGTTGCTGTATTTCACGAATGTCTTCACGAATATTGTCCTTTGAAGCGTCTATTTACTCTGGCAAGTTATAGTAACACTTATCTTTGACGGTGCCTCACTAACGATAGTCCAACGGTGTCCAATTAAAATAAAAAAAAATAAAAATTTGTTTATTACTGTAACTTATACCTAGAAGCAAATAGATACAACTAGGGAGCTCCTTTTAAGAAATGGAATTATCTTGTGTTAGGAGTCCCCGAAATTGCAGTTCCGATTTCAAAATACCGAGTGCAGCTTTGGATGTGTGGCACGTAGCGCCGTCCTCTTGAAACCAAATGTTGCCAATATCCTCCTCTACAATTTTTGTGAACAAAATTTCGCTCAATATGTCCCGATAACGATCGCTATTGACTGTAGAGGCCACTCCTTGGTAATTTTTAAAGAAAAATGGACCAAGTATGCCTCCGGATGGAAATCCGCACCAAACAGCATATGGGGGTATGCTGCATACCGTATGCACTTTTTCGCGAGGTTGCCAAATTTGTAATGATACCAGCACACAGGAAACTTCTTGTAGTTTGTAATTGATCTTCTAGAAGTCGATCGAGACTTCTGATGTGGCATCTGTCGGCTTCTGGAACGCGGGCGATGGTGTCTTGTGGTGAGCTCGCTGACCTGTTTCGTTAGCTCGGTTATTTGTCGAGCCATCATGTCCATCGCCGACTCCAATCTGGATACTGAGGCGACTGCCATCTGCGGTGATGGTGCGATGTCATGTACTCTATCTGCTAAATCAGCCAGATCCTGTAGCGTCATGTTGGCCTGAGAAGCGATTATCGTTTACGTTCGTATAGTAAGACGTTATATTTTTGATGGTATTGAAGTCCCTCGATTTTATTGTCATCCTGATGTTGTAATCCTCGATCTGTCGACTGGTTGCTGTTGTTGCTATAGTGACGATTTTTCCAGTACAGAGTAGTTTAGAGAGAGATAGCACGATCGGACGTCTCAATCGGAGGTTATAAATATATGGCGATTTCTTCGCTCGCCTCGGCAGTCTGACCACTTCGATGAAACTCCTCTCGCTGTATTCATCACTCCTGAAGTCACTGTCATGTCACTGCATATGAAGGCGGGCTTGAGCCTGTCCAGCAATACGACAGCAGTGTGAAGAGGCGTTTTTATCTTGAAATATTTTTTCATATCTCTTTAAAACTTCGTAGGGTCCATCGTACGGCGGAGTGAGGGGTGCTCGAACTGTGTCATTTCTCACGAAGATATGTGTACAGGTTGCTAGGTCCTTATTGTCTAGGCTTTAGTGTCTCATATGTCCGTTGCACCGTAAGAAAGAATAATATCGCTTCTACGTTTCTCATCCACTGAACTTCCATACATTACGATTTCGGTAATAGTTTTTATTAAATTGTCTTCATTTTCCAGCCGTGGGCGACCAAGATGTTTATGTAAAGTTATTATCGATTCTGCTCCAGGTTTTATAGCTACCAAAGCTTGAAAAGCTTCTTTTTCCTATATTTTTTTGATGCTTTTTGGTTACTTTTTAGTTTCTCTAAATTCATAGTTTCGCCTCCTGATACAAGCAAAAAATGCAATTTTTTTATTTGTAATGTGAAATTCGAATGAAAAATATTATGTTACTTGCAATTAAAGTATAATAAAATATTTTTTTTTATCTGGATTAGCTTCAAGATTTATTCAATAACACGAGATGAAAACTTTCAAATTCACTTGTTGTTAAAATTTGTAACTGACGGCTAACAATGACGCATACGAAATGGCGGACCAATCACAATGCTTTACTTTTTGGTTCAGAAACTACTGGCTAGAAATCACCAAGGATGCGAATTTCAAGATAAGTTTTATTGAAAAAAAAATGCAAGCTATAATGATGACTCTTGGCTTATATTGTCGCAAAATGTACATGTTAATACGCTTTCATAGGGCAGCGCACAGAATTCTATATTTTTTTTGTAGTATTGCTTTTTAATGGACATGTACCAGAAAATTGTAATTCCGGGAACGTTTTTCTAAGTTGAATAAAATGACCAAAAACAAATATAACACATAATTTGTGCGTTGTCAAATAGCATGGCTATAAAATGTATCTATGTTATATAACCAATAATGAAAACAAAAGATATAAAATGTTATATAGCAAAATACGTCAAAAAATTTAACAATTTGCTATTACCGTGCATAAAATACAAGAAATTTCTTAATATACATAACGTTTACGATGGAATTTTCATTAAATGAACAAAATGAAAGTTTGTTAACGTAATAAATCTATTTTTTTTAAATAATACATCAAATTATGCGTATTTTATTGAAATTTTGTGATATTCCCGGAAATGATCAACCGTTCTCGTAATGACAAACATATTAGCGGAATGACGATATTGATATTATAAGGTAAAGTAAGGAAATGTTTGAACTTGACAACGGTTTAAATAAAAAAGTTATTTATTTGTTTGCACATGAGAAATAACTCTTAATATTAATAAATTCTTATAATTAAGTATGTCTTTTGGTGTGTTACAATCAGTCTAGTGGAACTTCTATAATCGTAGTTATAATTTTAATCTGAAACCTCTACTCTAAAATCACAGTTTACTTAAAAACTAAACTCTTACAAATTATAGAAAAAATATAAGTAACGTCAGGAAATCAACGTTAAATTCTGTAACAAGAAACAAGTTAACTAAAATACTATTTAAATATACAACAAAACTTATTATTTTTCTAAAACATCAATATCATTATCAAAATAATAATATTCTCTATTTTGTTCTTTTTACAGTAACTTGTAATATTGTTGAAATGTTTTTCGCAGAATGTCAAGTAAAGGTCTTATTTTATAAAGTTTGTCAAAGTCTGGGCTGTTTCTGTTAGTAATTACACTATTGTCATTTACGTGCAAGTTATTCAAAAGCCAACTGAATCGGTAACAAAACTGTCATGTAAATCGGGTGCTGAAGACCAGTAATCTCTGTAGCTCGGCAATTTTTTTATACCCACCACCAAGTTCAAGGCAATGAAAGCATCAAGCTCCTCAGTTGTGGTAGTAAAAGGCTTTCCAGATTGAGTAGCGTTAAAGTTAGTTTGAAAACATAGAATGTCCTGTAAATGCTCTGTCCAGAAAAGGTGAAATAATGAAAGAGGCGTAACATTCTCCATCATTAGTACTTGATTCGTTTTTCCCACGTTTTCTGAAAACTCACGTGGTATGTTCGTCCTATAATTCTTCTTCCACTTTGGAGCTACTGTATGCCTGTTAGAATGTTTGATTTTGGGCTCTGCAGAATCAGGATTCCGGGATACTAAGTTAGACAAAGGGAGATCATCATCGGAATCAAAGCTGTCAAAATCGTTTGCTTGAACTTCTCCAATGAAATCGCCTAACACCAGCGGATTTGGCTGATCTTCTCTTTCTTCTTTGTCATGCTCATCGCCACATACATTCTCGTTATCTGAAGGAATATCTACCCATAAGTATTCTGCTATTTCTCTATTGTTTAGTCGGCGCGAGTGACGCGACATACTGTAAACAATACGAAAAAGACATTAGCAATAACGTCCAAAACCTTCATGTAGATAAGTTACAATAGTCACGGTGGTTAGTAAACTAACCACAATATTTTCGTTGTCATTGCACATAGAAAAACACAAAACTTATTCTAGTATTTTTAAGTAAATACGTATTATTTAGACATATAAGGATACATTTATAAAAAAACAATAAACAAGGAAGCTCACTTACCTGTTTTACAGATTTTTTTATCGAGCAGGCGAATAAGAGTCCGTTAGCATAATATTCACTTCAACGCAAATTAACTATCATTCATTCAATATACCGTCAATCGGTCGTAACTTGTCAAACATAGTCCAAACGTTCGTAACAACTCAACCGTTCGTCACCTAATGGCGTAGATTCTATTAGAAAAAATCGGAAAAAGGTGGTTTGAGACACTAACCACCAAGACTGAAAGAGTTAACTGTGTATAAGGGGACGCGCCTTTGTTTTTTAACACCATTATGTTTTACAGAGTCCCTCTTAGGGCACATTCGACTCACATCATCTCGTTCGAAGAAATCAACGACCTTTTGGCGAGCGTCTTTCTTCAATATTACTTCTCGAATTTTGGCATCAGATTTTAAAATCGATTATGTGTCTTTCCTTTTGTCTAGCTGGTGAAATTCTCTTGGCCATATGTAGCATTTTATATTTCCGCAGATACATTTATGAAAGACTTCTCTCTCTTTTCAATTTTTTGGAAGACCATCAGCCTTTTGTTGCAATTGATTAGTCAATACTTCACTATATATGTCGTTTGCGTACTTCAGGAGGTACTTGAATATCTTTAATTAAGGCATCAACTTTTCTTACGGGACTTGGTATGGTTTTCTTTTTTGCATCTATTCTTTGTAGTTTGTTTTTCAAAGATTGAATTTATCGCTTCATTTCAACTATAGTTTCTTCCTGCTTTTTAATTTTTCTGTATGCATTCGCCCTATCCTTTTTTAAAGGGATCTAATAATAAAAATAAAACTAATAAAAATTTAAAGGGTTCTGAATCGTATAAAACTTTCCGTTTCGTTTTTGATACAATATGCATATAAGGGCACTCTTTAATTCTTTTTGCATGTTGCCAATGTTCTTTAGTAAAACATTTATTGAATTGACTCAAGTAACTAACTGAAAATGAAATATCAGGGCGAGTTAAAACAGACAAATACATCAGACTACCTATCAGGCGTTGATATGGTAAGCTAATATCACATTCATTATTATCAATACTGAGATTAAGTTTACATTCCATTGGTGTATTTGATGTGTGACAATCCAACGTTAAATTGACTTAGCAACTGATCTATTTAGCCCTCTTGATCTAATGTTACAGAATCTTTATTGCACACAACTCTCATACCCAAACAATGTCTTATACTACCAAAGTCTTTCATCTTGAAATTCTTTTCTAAAGACCTTTTTAAGTTGATTACTTTATTACAATCATTTAGAAAAAATCATCGACATATATTAAGCCCAGACGCCTTCTGCGGCAATATCCATATCACTGGAAGTTGGTGTATCTGAATTCTTAAAGAAATTTAACATGGTAGAAATCGGTACGACATTATTCACATCTAACATCCAAGGGAGCACTACACTGTTGCTTTAATAAAGGATATTGACTTCGTAAATTAGCATTAAATGTGCATTTACTTTTCGGCATTGCAAAAAACGGCCCTGACCTCGATATCCTTCCCCGTGTACGGCTCAGACAGCAAGGCTACGATGTGTTCGCTATTAATGAAGCATATAATGAACCCTTTAAGAGAGTGTTTGGACCTGTCTAGATTGCACTGAATGATTTTAATTTTGTGTGGATCCATAATCGACAGAATTGAGTGTTCTGGAATGGACTGTTCTTAACCCTCTATCACTCAAGAACGTGGATTTTAAAATAAAAATTGGATCCGGGTTTAAAACGACAAAATAAAATACACGTGTTTCAGTATTTTTCATTTATTAAAATAGTTTAGAAGATATTTTTTGAAAAGGGGAGTGTTGCTTTAAAGCAACACTGGACCATAAGACAAAAAAAACATAAAACTATGTATTAGAAACCTATTTCTGAAAAAATTATGATAGGTGAAAATTTCTAAAACAATTTTTAGTTTTGGTATAACACAGTGCTACCCCACATTTCTCACACATGTTATACGTAAATCCAATACAATTTGGAAGCATAGGGTCTGTCTGTCAATGTCTGTGACGTAGCCTTGTGTGTGGTGGGGTGTTTAAAATTAAATCTGATGTTGTATTTGGTACAGTTATAGGTCCGGACCCCCACGGGCTTCTGTTTCTGTAGGTGATGCATCCCCTTGAGCTTCATGTCGAAGCGCATGGAGGTCTTGCTGCCCAACGTCTTTTTTTTCTGCCTTAAAGTCCTCTGTTTTGTTGGTGTTACTGCTGTTTTGGTAGATGTTTGTTTAACAGTCTTTAAAACAGGTTTCCTTGCCGGTTTTTGACTGGTTGGGGTGGATGGCGCAGATGTTGGCGCCAACTTTTGCTCTTGGGATTGATCGACCATTTTTGTTGGTTTTTTGGGCGATGAGTGCACGGGATGTTAATTTGGTGTTTATAAACGTGTAGATCTCGATGTCACGTTTCTGCCGATACCAAACTCGATAGGGTTATTTCCACCCTTTAGTGAGTTATGCCCCCGGGAAGGTTTTCCAGGGAAATGCCTGTATCTCCTTATAGGGTGGTCTCCCGAGGGAACAAAAGGTGTCAGGGGGTTTGTCTTGAGATGTTTAATTTAAGAGTGGTATCAGGTACTCGCCAGCTGTCCTGGATCGACGACGACGACGTTTTCAGGAAAAAAAATTATTTCTCCCGAACCACGCTCCAGAAAAATCTGAAAATTTAAGGGAATGTGCTTCTCACTATTCCTGAAATACATAATTATCAAATAAAATCTGGGGGTCGTCTATGTCCTTTTTGATCTGCGGCGGTTTTTAGATTTGTAATTTTAAGGTTATTCCTGTTTTCTCCCGTAGCTCTTCACAGGATCAGCTGTTGCGGTCGGGGCAAGCCGCCGCTTGTAGGGTGGGTCGGATCTTGAATAGTTTCCTCCGAAGTGGTGGCCGGTGATCCAACCCTCGGGATCAGTGTTCGATTCGGGGTACGTAACGGTCGTCACATGAAACCACAGACTTGGCAGTAAGTGGTCAGCAGAATCACAGATCAATGGTATGACCACGTCGTCCCTAATCTCACTTGATCTTGCGTTTTCTTCAAAATGCGGTTGATGTTCACTCGACAAAGGCGTGTGAAGTTTATATTGTATATACAGTGCCCTCCAAAAGTTAGTTGAAATGATCAATAATGTAGTAAATGTGAAGAAATTATAATAAAACCAAATAAAATCGTGGCTTCAAGAATTATTTATTAAAATATAATCAATTTAGAATATTTCTGTCAGTAAGAGAATCATAACAAATTTTATAATTATAATTTATGTAGATTAACAATGAAATCACGTTACCAAAAGTTAGTTGAAATTGTTGAAAATATATTTTAAGCCTTGGGTCTTTGCAAATATTTTAACTTTTAATATTTTGTATGACCGCCATTATTCTGTAGAACTGCTTTAAGTCGTCTAGGCATTGATTCTACAAGATTCGGTAATTAAATTAAAAAAACAAATATTAAACGAAAAAGTAATTATAATAATAATCTACGGTTTTTTTAATCATCTTTTAGAACGCCTCTTCAGGTGAAGGCTCCCTCCAAGGATGGCCAGACTCTAGATTTGGCTATTTGAAACCAATCTACGGCGACTTTAACTACGTAATCTTCCCATCTTGCGCAGGGTCTTCCTCTTCTCCGTTTATCAAGTGGGCCTTTCCAGGCTGTCACTATTTTGGTCTTGCAAGCGTGCTACATGATCAGCCCATTTCCATTTTAGAGTCACCGCTTGTACTAGTCCATCTTTAGCCTTTGTTGTCACTCTTTTTTTGTGTGACGTATTCTTTGGATTTTTTTGATGTAGCATGCTATGCTCCATGCCTCGCTGACATGTTACTAACTTACTTTTAACGTTATTGGTACATTTCCACGTTTGGCAGGCGTATGTTAAGTAGGGTGAGAGGCACGATCACGACCTTCGTTTTCATATTGGTTGGTGAGCTGCTTTTGAATATTTCTTTTAGGTTCCAGTACTTATTCCATGTTAGATGTATTCTTTGTTCGACTTTGTTCGTTATTTTTTCGAGGTACAAGCACTGCTCTGCATATAGGTACATATCGGCAATGAGCCTCTGATATATAGATGTCAGAGGCTCGCAACCGACCGATATTGAATTATTTCATTAATTACATAATATGAATCTAATTGTGTTATGTTATAATACTCTCGAGTTCCTGTATCTTATACTCTATTACTACCGTAAATACTACGCAGCTTATAAATTATAGTTCGGGCAGTAATAAAACGGGTTATATAATTACTAAGTGAGCGACTGACTATAAGTGATGAAAAATCAAAAGAATAATATTTTACAAACATTAATATGAGTTACTTAAAATACAAAATGAGCAGTTTCATAATATTTTAGCGAATTAATATTTGTTTGTGTATCAACGTTACGTCCTGTATTTTTTTCAATATTTCCCAAATATATTTTGTATACTGAGCGGCATTTTGTCTTAAATGAAGTGTTTCGAATACAAAAACCACTTTGAAAAATACACTAATGGGCAGATTATAAGGAGCTCACATTAAAAAGGAAACATTATTAGCTAAGAAATTATATTATTGATATTTAAGGGTAATTAAATAAAACAGTGAACTCCGTAAAACTAAAGTAGTATGCAGTTACTTAAATGAACAAAAATAAAATGAGACGCTTCAGTCAACTAACAAAAACAAGATGTTACTTATTTAACATTGATACGTGAAACTGGGTCTTAACATTTCTAGGTAATCAAAAAACAATAGAAACAAAAATCTAACAATATTTATCTTAAAAGTACTATTATCATGAAATTAAGAACAATAACAATATAATACTATGAAAGTCAACTATCCCAGTCTTCAGAACAGCCTTTTGAGATTTTTATAATGTTATATTACTTGACTTTAATATTATTTTGAGGTAATTTTACTTAATAATAAGATTGTTGGGAATATAAGCTGTGCCAGTCACCTGATTCACCAATAATGTCCCCTTAAAAGCGGCCATTTCGGACGACTTATTATTAATGATCACATCCATTTTTATACCTTGGCATCTTTCACGAATGACAGTAGCGAACTCATTCAGGTTATATCTCCTTCTGTAGCAATCACTTGGTCTGCTGTTCGTTTATAAGTGGCCCCTACAAAAATTTTCGGAAAGATCCATATGTACAATGACATCGGTTTCAGATAAAGACTCTTTCAATTGCTTAATGGCATTGTACTGATGTAATATGTTAAAAGAATGCCCGAAAAATTTAACCATATCATTTTCTAGTTTTGTAATGGGATTTCTAGGTGACATTTCCTGTGTCTCTATTTTACATTTCGTCACAAATCGTTCTTTCTTCGTTTTCGGGTCTATTATGGACTCTTTCTTACTCACCCACTATTTTATTAATATTGGTTTTGAATTATTGATTTCTGTATAAGTTAGAGTTTTTGAGCAATAGTTATCACATGTTCTCTCTAGACATCTTTCAGAATATCGATCACAACAAAGCAGTTCCAACATATTTTGATGATTACTCACTGTTGTAAGTGTATTTTCCTTCTTTAGAGCAGCTAGTTGAAGGTCCATGTTTTCGTGAATCGTGCAACTACAAGTTTCACGGATTGACAATGTAGGCTAAGAGGCCAAGAAATCTTTTAATTATTACCTAGTATTTTATTATCAGTTATTTATGACATTAATTTTATTTGAATTTTGTTTTACTCCATCCTTACTTACTATATGTAGTTACTAAGAACTCTGTCTCTAATTTTAAAAACTCCTGTTTATCCATCTGGGTCTTAATGTTAGATTCACGCGAACGTTTCAGAATCTTTTCTATGTTAATCATATGTTCCTGTTAAGATGTACTAAATATGACGACGTCATCCAAATAAACCAGACAGATTTAGTTTTAATGGAAGCATCAGCCTTTTTAGGAACTACCCAAATAGGAGAGCTCCACGGGGATTCGAAACCGAATTATATTCTGTTAGACCATTTTTTTTATTTGTTCCCTTGTTTGTGAAAACTTGTGGAATTCGTGTTCTTTGGTTTTCATTGTGTGACATCGGTATACCAGAGATTTCAAGGTTATTTTTCTTCCATCTTGTTCTTTAAGACGCAGCTGATCCGCCAATGTTGATAACAAGACTGCTGTAGCATTACTATCTTTTTCGAGACGATTAATGTCCAAATTTATGTTTTCGGTAGGGGAAAGCAGGTAGGATTCGTACACTTTTTACTTTTAGCTTTATAACAGAAAAGTTTTTCGTTATTTTAATGCTATTGTATATCCTATATATTTGGCTATAGTTATAGTAAAGTCAAGAACTGGTATCAAGTACTATTATAAAGCAACGGCACTATTTCTAAAAAAATAAAAACGTACGAAGCTACCCCACACGCGTCGTAGCTTCGTACATAGGGAAAGGTGCATTCGTACATAGTACATAAAAAACCTTTTTATATGAACTTATCTATTAAAATTAACACAAAATGGACTCTAAATGTATTTATAATTAACAATACATTCATTTAGAATCAACTTTGTTAAATCTTAGACATAAAATAAACATTTTACTTAACCATTAGGGTAACTTATTAAAAAAACATAACAAATCTGTTATTTATTGCACATTATACATAGTAAAAACTTTCTCAAAACTAATTATATCAGCTTGTCTTGCTGTAGAAGCTGATTTAGGCGGAGGCAATACACAGACCACGTCTGATAAATAAACAGTTCCCTCGTCTTTAATATTAGGAAAAGCAAATTTCCAGGTACCCGGCTTCTTTCTCATAAATGAAACTTTGTATTCAGTAGGGCTATATTTTGTTTTCACCTGTCCGATATAACGCACCTCCGCTCAAATAGTGTCACAACTCAAAAAAAGTTGAATTCAATTTTATTGCACTATTGGAATCAGAAAACTTCGAAATCTAATCTCAAGTAATGTCATGCCCATAGTTCAACTATTTATCCATAGATGTCAATATTTCGTAAATTATTCGTGTTTTTCATCCGTTATTCGTTATTTTTTTTTTTAAATATATTCCAAAAGTCTATTACACCATTTTGTTGAGTGTCAAAAATCATTATAACTTAAAATCATATTGCAGTAACTTTCACAGTTTTTGAGTGATGAGCCGAAAAGTAAAGTTAGCATTAACTTCAAACGCGTTTTATTCGAAAGTTGGGATTTTTGACTTATGACACTATTTGAGCGGAGGTGCGATAATGTAAAACAGTCTTCTTTTTTTTCAAACTTCACCAATAAAAATCTTTCTTCTTTAATGTTTTCGGTCACAACTGGATCTTCGTCTCTCGTCGAAAGGAGAACAAGAACTTTCTCTT